TTAAACCGCATAAACACATGTCATTACACCAAAATACACAAAATAATGTTCTTTTTAGCAACATCATATGACCCCTTTAATGCAAGACTGCTTGACCGACAGTGTTCTGTAAAGTAGGCTAAGTTGTAGTTGAAATGTTATGTTGAAAGCACGAGCATTTATTAGCGCTTATGGTAGCCTAATTAATTGCATTTCAAATAACATGAACAACTAAAAATCGTTTATGAAAAAATAAAAGCTTAAAACCAAGTTTGAAAAAAGTGAAGTGTCTAGCCTGAGCATGTTAGCAAGGATATTAGTATCTAAATAATAAAAAATAATATTGATCTAAAATGAAAAATAAAGTTAAAATAAGTGACAGTAAATAGCAATTGAACAAACGGTAAAATTTAACAGTAATTCATTTTAATTTATATTTATGTTGAAACCATGTAGCCTAGTGTCCCAGAGTGGCAATGGATTATTTGTTTATTATTTATATATAACCTATATATATATATATATATATATATATGTATGTATGAAAACTTTGAATAATAAAGTATCTAGCCTGGCCAGGCAGAAAGACCAGATAAATCCAACAAAATTGTCTATGCTGGTTATGTATGTATGTATGTAGTCTATGCTGGCTGGCGGAGGTATTCGTATTTATATATATATAATTAAAGTAATGAAGTAATCATTAAAGGGATAGTTCACCCAAAAATGAAAATTTGATGTTTATCTGCTTACCCCCAGGGCATCCAAGATGTAGGTGACTTTGTTTCTTCAGTAGAACACAAACGAAGATTTTTAACACAAACCGTTGCAGTCTGTCAGTCTTATAATGGAGGTGAATGGGAATCACGGCTTTGAGAGTCATAAAACATACATACACAAACAAAACCAAATCAAAGCCTGCGGCTCGTGACGATACATTGAGGTCTTAAGACACGAAACCTGAGTAGGGAACGAGACAGTGTCTTGTTCCCTAATCAGGGAACCATGGTTACATACGTAACCTGAGACGTTTTGTGTGAGGTCGAGGTGCAGAGCAGAATTTAAGTTGTTAATCGCTGAAAATAGTATCCAGATTATTATCCCGATCTTCTCATTCAAACACACCTCACCAGAAACTCCTAATTGAGATTGTAGATAAAGTGTCAATGGTCCACTTGAGAGATAGGTGTAGGTAATGCACTTATAAGTCTGCGATCCGCCGTAAAGCAAGAAGAAGAAGAAGACGCCTCATGCGCCTGCTGTTGAGAACGTGCTCCGGAGGACGTGCCGCCGCTCAGGACAGTTTGAATAGTTCGGAAATTGCGTGAATCAGAGGTATAAAACAATATACTGTTTCGTTTCTTGTACAGACCGATCGTTTTGTGTCTTTACACATCAATGTATCGTCACGAGCCGCAGGGTTTAATTTGGTTTTGTTTGTGTATGTTTTTTTTACTCTCAAAGCCATGATTCCCATTCACCTCCATTATAAGACTGACAGACTGCAACGGTTTGTGTTAAAAATCTTCGTTTGTGTTCTACTGAAGAAACAAAGTCACCTACATCTTGGATGACCTGGGGGTAAGCAGATAAACATCAAATTTTCATTTTTGGGTGAACTATCCCTTTAAGGAATCATTATAACCAGGAAACAAAAATATTTATGTGACTTTTCAAACATTTTACACCTAAATAGTTTCATTATGTACTTCTTTTTCCAGAATCGTATATTCGGACATTTTCTGGTTTTTTCCTCACTGTCACCGATGAGCCAATTGATTTCCTTGACGTGCAGGAGGAGGGCAGCGGCTCTGGCTCGGGTCCAGTATCCAAACCCAAGAAAGATCACCACCACCATGTGGCTAAAAAGACTTATCACATCTCTCCGGAGGCCTCCAGCTTCCTCACAGGCCGCGTGTTGACCGCTGTCATCCCAACAATATACATTATAGTGTTTATCATCAGCGCTCCTCTAAATCTCCTGGCGCTGGTCATGTTTGTGCGCAAAGTGAGACCGAAAAAACCGGCGGTGATTTATATGATAAATCTGGCTTGCGCCGACCTTCTGTTCGTCCTGGTGCTCCCGTTTAGGATAGCCTACCATTACAACGGAAACAACTGGATATACGGGGCCGGCATGTGTCGCTTCGTCACGGCCGCTTTCTACTGTAACATGTACTGCTCTGTGCTGCTCATGATGTGCATCAGTGTGGACCGTTTTATGGCTGTCGTTTACCCGATGGACTCGCTCACCTGGCGCAGTCCGCAAACCGCGTCCGTCGTGTGCGCCGCCATGTGGCTTCTGTCCATCGGCGGTGTGACGCCTTTGCTAATTTCCAATCAAACCATTCACCTACCTGACCTGGGCATTACCACCTGTCACGACGTCCTTGACCTCCACCACCTCCGCGAGTATTACCTGTACTTCTTCCCCATCATCTCTTCGCTTTTCTTCTTCATCCCGCTCATTTTTAGCACCGTCTGCTACGTGCGCATCATCCAAGCCTTGTGCGCGGCCAACGTGGAAAACCGCGCGAAAAAAACGCGGGCCGTCTTTATGGCCGTAACGGTTTTTTCTGTTTTCGTCATATGCTTCGCGCCCACCAACATCATCCTGTTGTCGCATTACGTGCAGTTCGCGCACAAGCACAACGACGCGTCCTACGCCGCGTACTTGGTGTCCACGTGCATAGGGAGCGTCAGCTGCTGCCTGGACCCCCTCATGTACTACTTCGGATCGTCTCAGTGCCAAAAACAGGTTATCGCCTTTCTCAAGTGTCAGGGAGTGTCAGGCGTCGAGAGGAGCGCACAGTTCACCAGCACCACCAGATCAAGCAAGCTGGAGACTTTTAAAAGCAGCGTGAGCAACCAGTACAGGAAGCTGATGGCATGAGCAGACTGATTTTAAACGGGGTTTGAGAACTTTGCAGCTGGTCAGGGTGAGAGACCTTCTCAAACCTGCTGTAGCAGGTTTCCAAGGACTTTAAATCATTTATTTTATCAGGTCCAGCTCATGACATTTAGGAGTTGATTGCACTCCATCATAACATTTCCAAGAACATCCAAATGACTCTGGCACTTAAATCGTTTCGTAAATCGCTTTTATATCATCTCTGCTAATGTATATATTCTTTCTTTATTTTTGTATTCGTTACCATGTCAAAAAGCTATATTCTTGCCAATAAATGCATATTTACATATCAGAAACTTAATGCTTTGTAAAAACAAAAATTACAGTTGTATGTTACGTTTTTTCTGTTCACCGTAATTTACTTGATGGCTGGATTTTACTTGGTGAAAATTCTCAAAAACATTTCCACCTCTGGTTTTATCTTTAGGTAGATATTACAAACGTGCACTACCTCTCAAAAGTTTGGGGTCAGAAAATGTATTCAGCAAGGATGCATTAAATTGACAGTAAAGGCTTTTATAATGTTACAAAAGATTTCTATTTCAAAGAAAATACTGTGGTTTTGAATTTTCTATTCATCAAAAAAATCCTGAAAAATGTATTACCGTTTCTATAAAGATACAATTAGCAGCACAACTGTTTTGAGCATTGGTAATACTAAGAAATGTTTCTCCAGCACCCAATCTGCATAATAGAATGATTTTTGAAGGATCATGTGACACTGAAGAATGAGGGAAAAAATTATGCTTTGCTCACAGGAATAAAATGCATTTTAAAATATATTAAAATTGAAAGTTATTTAAAATTATAATATTTCACAACATTACTGTTTATAGAGTATTTTGATCAAATAAATGCAGCCTTGGTGAGCATGAGACTTCTTTTTAACAATTAAAAAATCTTTCAGTCCCCAAACTTTTTAACGGTAGTGTATAACAATGCAAATTATGTAAATAAAGGCTTCAGACCTTGTTTAAATGACCAACATAGCTGGTCACCAACATATTTTGTGCTTTGAACACTGATATGTGACCCTGGACCACAAAACCAGTCTTAAGTCACACAGGTTTATTTGTAGCAATAGCCATGGGTCAAAATTATCGATTTTTCTTTTATGCCAAAAATCATTAGGATAAGTAAAGATCATGTTCCATGAAGATATTTTGTAAATTTCCAACCGAAAATATATCAAAACTTAATTTTCGATTAGTAATATGCATGGCTAAGAACTTCATTTGGACAACTTTAAAGGCGATTTTCTCAATATTTAGATTTCTTTTGCACCCTCAGACTCCAGATTTTCAGATAGTTGTATGTCGGCCAAATATTGTCATATAACAATCCATACATCAATGGAGAGCTTATTTATTCAGCTTTCAGATGATGTATAAATATCAATTTCAAAAAATTGATCCTTATGACTGGTTTTGTGGTCCAGGGTTACATATATTGGTTTGTCTCAATCAAGCTCTTTAACCTTCTCAAATTTCATATCCAACAAGAATATTATTTTACCATCTACGCAACGAGAATGTACTAACATAATTAATTTATGGTGGCTTCTGGCTTGTGCAGTTTTTTTTCCTCAAGAAAGGTTACATACACAAACACGTACTACAAATGGTGAAAATGATTTTTATATCGGCATATCCAGATTCTTTACAGATAGCTGTATTTACAAGAACAAATCCAACATGACAAGAAATCTTGAAAAAATTCAGGTCAGTCCATTACATTAAGGGATATACTGTACATTTGTCTTATTCCGGAGCAAAAATGAAATTAAGCCAACCTTTGGTTCGCCTAAACAATGTGTTTGATAAAGGGTGATTTTGTCAGTGATCGTCATCTGATCAAATCCTTGCTTAACTTAGTTTGAAAACAACGCAATATGATGAAGGCCTTGAAATGTCATATTTAGCTCACTCGACAACAACAAAATTATTTTTTCTGCTGTTCAATCATAACGGGGTGTAATTGTGTGAATTATGCTGCATCTAAAAGTGGAGAATTTTATTTATTTTATTTATTACATTTAAGGAACTGCTGTTTTTTGGTATCAGCTATGCTGCATACCACAGAAAAAAAAATTACATAAAAAAGGTACATACAAAAACTTGTGGAAAGATTCAATAATTAAAAAATGGATTGAGCCCTGTGAAAAGCTTCTAGGTGTCTTCAGCTTCCTTTCATGGCTTGCTTAAGTTTATTCAGATTTAGTGTAGGATGACGTTACTGTAATTCATAATAGTTCACCAAAGACAAAACGAGTAGAAAACCAAAGAGCCGGTTTTGAGAAGATCCTGTTTTTTTTGCTGAACACGGTGAAAACATAACTCCTGTGCTGTCCTTTCACACGCTCATTGTCATGTTTGGAGAATACTGCAAGACAGGAAGTTAGTTTGAATGACAGCTGCTGCTGTATTTAACACAACTGATCCTATAGAAAAGGCTTTCTGCATACATACACTTTCACTCTGAAATGGGTTGAGGAAGTTGCCACTCATTTCTCCATCATCTCTTGGTGTGCCAGGCTGATTATTCATGCTGAGGTTTCCTGGTGAGCTCTGATGAATGTGAACATTGAGTTTGAGGACAGAAACCACAAATGAATTTCAGAGAAATGGTCGTCACTGTTTAAATGTCTGTCAAAACAGTACGGAAATGCCCCATACCTTTGGGAGGCTTTCAATGTCACCAGATCCTGCTGTTGAATGGAGGGAAAAGGAAGAGACTTTACAGTATTCAATGTGCAAATGGATATATATATACTGTATATGTATATATACTGTATATGTTGAATTGTGTTATGTCATTTAAATCTGTCGTACCATTCATATGATGAGGCTCCATGCCTGCCATGCTGCCTATTGGGCCATCAGAACCTGAACCTAATGGAAACTGAAAGGAAAAATCCCATAAGAAAACCAAATACACTTTACATGTCCATATTTCAGATACTATTATAAGACTCACATTTGGTCTGTTTCCATTTGGAGGGACTGAGTTGATCATGCTGTACATGTTGTCACTTGAGTTGTTTGACTCTAAAATCAATATTGTACATCACACATTAGTAGTTCATTTTTAGCTAAAGACAAAATAAATGACTTGGTATGGGTAAAGAATGCATTGCTGCCTTTTTAGAATTTGACCTAATCAAGATATGTTAGAAGCCATGAACAAGGCTTTTCACAGAATCCTTTTGTTTCCCTATGATGCCTTAAAAGGTCTACAGAATGTCATTGGACTTGAAGTAGTTAGTATTGTGCTGACTGCTTCAGTATTTGTTACCTGCGGGACTGGGCATGATGGGTGTTCCTGGAGGGCCACCTCCTGCTGGGGGACCCTACAAACACACTGATTCTGCTTATTCAAATGACCAGCGTGTGTTACCCAAAGTTACCTCAGACAAGGTAACAAAAACAAAAACAAAAACAACCTTAAACAACATTACCTACCGAATAACTGCCTGGAGATGCGGATGAATAAGGGATCTGCAGGGAGAAAGTACGGGTATTTATATAGTTTAGGATACAAGACTTTTGATCAGTTATCACATACCATGGTGAGAACTAACCGAATTGTTATTTGGTGGATTTGGCCATGGTCTTCCTCCTGCAGGACCCCTTTACACAACAGTATACAAATATACAGTGTTATACAACTTTATACAGTAGTATAATAGGGATTCTTTATGGAATGATAATAGACTGTAATGTGAATACAATTACATGTTAATCCCAGGCATCCCAAGTCCCACAAGGGCATTTAGGGGAGGTCTCATCCCACCACCATAGTTCTGGAACACCAATTATACCCAATAACACATTATAATAAAGATTGCGAGCACTGTAACATGCTTATACAAATGTACATAATTATCCATGGATAACTCACCTGTGGTCCAATAGGAACCATTCCTCGAGGGGCCATCCTCTGCATGGGCCCACTCATGTTAGGATGGCCTTAAAAATGGGAAAAGGAAGCAATGCGGTTTCATATTTCATAGTTTGATGTATTATTACAGCTGTTTACAGAATCTACAGACACAATTTCAATAAATTTGGGAGGATTTCTGTCAATTTTGTTGTATGTAAATTTAATAATAAAATTATCCAAAGCATTTCACAAAGGTGAGGTGGACTTGATCATACTGTCATATTTACAGAGTTGTTAGCATTTGAAATACCTGGCTGTCTTGTAGGATCCATCCCACTGGGTAATAGAGGCTGGTTCCCAGGGCCCAAAGCCTGTTCAAATCAAGTAACAGTCATTATCATGCACTGAATGAAAACTTTAGATCCCGAAAGCAGAATATATAAATACCTGACTGGGTATTCTGAGAGAACCTCTGGGCCCACCTGGGTATCGAGGAGACATAAACTGCTGAGGAAACACAAGGACAGAGAACAATTAATTAATTTAGTCTACATCACTCAACAATTTTCATGGTTCATCCAGCAAGCAAACCAGAGCAACTGAGTGGCACCATAAATCACACCACCAGATGGCAACATTGTATTTTACATCTGTAATTCAGTCTCAAGTTAGAGTTCAAAGAGTTCAGTCATCAAGTTCAAATTTACAACTTTATTGGCAACATATGTGGCTTTAATTCATACCTCAATGTAAAAACAGTAATGCAATTTCTAGAAGTCTATTGAGTGACTCTACACTTTTCTCTACTTTTCATCACTAAATCAAATTCTAATGAATAACTATCCTGTTTTACTCACACACATCACACAAAATGGGTTGCAAACAGCAATTCACATTGGCTTCAATACAAAGGAAAGTGCTGCATTTCAACAGACATGCATTTGCGAAGTTCAAAGCTGATATCTCAGAGGGCTGGTTAAAATAAAACTGGATCAAACTTTGTGAGTTAGAGAGGACAACTGAAGAAAGTATTGTTAGAGCTGACAGCTGGATTCTTCGGGAATCTGGGCGTAAGACTATCAATGAGCGATTGTCAATACACATCAGGCAGGACAGCAGCTCTCAGACTGGCTGCTGACAGTTAATCAGTGTATGTTCTGGTGCATTATCACTAACGTACACACAGTCCAGTATTTATGCACTCGAAATCCTCCTTCAAATATAACACATTGTAGGATCTCTGTCTTCGAACGGACCCACTTACACTATTGAGTCACACATGAAACAATCACATTCCATTGAGACAAACTGAGGCACCCCTATGCAACCAGCTGCGGTCGTAAAACTCATGCAGGGTCAGTGAAGGGTTGAAGCAGTTTAGAACTATGAAACTTCAAACAACTTCGTGAACTCTCATTCTAAAGAAACTGTATGTTTGTGTGTATGTGTGTTTTAGCTTAGTTTTGATGTAATCTAGAATAGCCAATAAAATTCATGTTTCATTTATAAAGAATCATTGTTTGGAGACATATAATTTCAAGGTTAAAACTTTTGCCAAAGATCCCTTGCTACCTAGCTCGTAGCTTACTTATAATAATTACTATAATAGCTTACTTATAATAATTGTATTGACCGTGGCCTGGGAAATACAAAGATTCAAGTTGTTAAAATATACTAAGAATCACTGGCTCGCTGGACGACTGTTGATTTAAAGTGTAAACTATCAGATTTGAATTCAGTTTTAATCAGGTTGACTCAGAATTTTCAGATTCGAGTCCTTTCAAAACCTGAGCTAGAAATAAAATTAATGATTAATTCCCTTACAAATGAGTTAATTTCATTACAACATTATAACAGATAATTAAACAATTAATTGAAAAGACACACAACTCCTCTTTCCAATTAAAAATGAAAGTGTGGAAATCCTTGCATAATCTGCTGCTACAGACATCCACATATAGTTTTCTTGGCCTGAATAAATATTTAATTGCCCACTCATTCATAATCTCTCCTGACTCAGCACATCTCTCCCGGTTCAACTGTCAGTCACAGAAGAAGAAAATAATTTATCACTGCTTTTATCTGAATTTATTTCTTCCATACCGCTCTTTTGTTGTTTCAGACAGTAAAAAAAGCACTGTCATTCAGTGACCTTTATGAAAAAGATATTTCAATGAAATAATGTTTAAATCAATTTAATATTTAAAAGTTAAAAACAATATATAAAATAAGTATTAATAAATATGTTAGTCGGGATAGGACACTCTTTAGCCAAAAAATGCTAAAGATGCTATACTTCATACACAAAAAACTGTGTGTGTACCTGAAAAAATCCCGGGGGCAAAGGCATACCGTCTCCAGGAGGACTTCCAAGCACTGGACTCTGTGTCGCTGCTGCACTCTACAGGACACACACACACACAAAACTCAGATGAAATATCCTCAAATATCTTTATAAAGAAAAACAACATAAAGGACACAGGAGGATTGTTAAAGAGGAGTCAGATGTTACATATCACTTTGATAAAAACATATGCATGTTATAAATAACCTGAACATGAATGACATTTTGAAGACCAGAGCAATAAACAAGCAGCAAAAATGACTTTAAACATCAGCACTGTATAATAATTGCTGATCTTTTTATGGCCAGACAAGTTACTGTACACTGCAAAGTCACATAAAAAAGTCACTGCACTATAAGCACAGGCACACTGTAAACACATTAAACATAACGAGCATAACGTATTTCTAAAAGAGACTTCTATTTGCAGCAGAGGTGACAGCACAGAGATGGAGGTCATTAAACAGCCATCAGCACATAAACCTCATGTCTGATATTACCTGCTCTAGCAATAACATGCACATACACAAACCTAAGGCTTGGACAATGAGAGGAAATATGAAACAGTGGGAAGACATAGACACTGAGAAGATGACCCTTCTGGCAAACACATTTTGTCCACTGAATAATTAACAGCACTAGTGTTGATGTACTACAGTTTCGCTGGTGGTTTAGGCTTTCTACTCATTGGAAATGGAACAGAAGCAACTGCTTTCCCCTGTTTGCCCCTCACATACACTCATGGCAGTTATCTGACCGTACCCAGTGCCATGAACCCCAGTGGTTAATGATGGCTGTTTGGATGCCCATGAATCCCGTCTGTATACTCTACAGTACTTATTAGTAATTAGGGTGAAAATAACTAAAAATATGTCTGGGTCATAATGCATTTCATCCCAAAAACCAAAAGAAGAAAATGAGGGAAAATTATGATTACACAGTCCAATTTTGAGGATAGACACTGCACCAAATTGATTCGTATTTCTCTCAGAAGACTCCAAGTCCAGATATGGCCAGTCACAATTATTTCAAAATGTATACTAGTACATTTATCCTGTAAATGTACATTTTTAATGTTTCTTACTTTGTAAAGAAACAGCTGTACTATATACACAGCCAATATGTTCCAGATTTTCAAAGTTTAAGCCTTCAGCAGCTCGCTCTGTTTCTAAGTTCATACATTTCCATATTTATTAGATTTGCTCCTTCTGTCTGCAATAAGGAGGCAGTGAGTGAGTGTGTGTGTGTGTGTGTGTGTGTGTGTGTGTGTGTGTGTGTGTGCTCCAGTGGCTGGCTGGGTAGAGAGACTCATTTCTCTACTCATTAGAGAAACGTGGGTAGAATAGTAAGTCCCTTTGTCTAGAATTTCTCATCAGCTGCATCAGGACAACATCCCTATTCCTCACACCAGAGAAATACATCTACTCAGATCAAAAGAGAGGAACATAAAACATTAGATCCAGTCTGTAAGAAGAATTCTTGAATGGAGGATGAATGTGGTAAAGGAAAACTGGAATTCAGCTCATGTAACCAAACAGTCCAAAGTTAACGTGAGAGAGATTGAGATATTCATCTATTGAAATACAACATCAAATTCACACACCGACATTCATCCAAAATACAAGCAACTTTTATAATCTCAGGCATTCTCACATCTGTTCTTTTAAGCATGTGACTTGTTACATAAGCTCCACTGAGAGACAACCGAGATACGCTATAGTGACACGTGAACCTGAGCCATGTGTATATGATGGTAAGATTAGCCTTTAAACCAGCCGAGAACACAGACAGAGCAATATAACAACAGGAAATATACCAGTGATACAGACAGGAAGGAAGACTCTAGCTGCCCTTCTCTATTAATCTCTCCCTTGCTCCCCACATCTATTCATCCCCTATCGTGCCATTGGACACTTCTTGTGCAAACCAAACATAAATCCAGAAAAGTTTTACCCCAAAACAATAAACAATTGGATGTGTATTTATAGGGTAGAAAGTAAATATGTACATCGTGTCCCGAATAGAATATGGGACTTTTACTGTTTGCCACTTTACTGACAGGATGTGAATCTATTGTGATTTGTGGTGGAGAAACGTACAGCTATAGTCTTTCCTTACGCCAGTAGGTGGCGGCCAGTGACTGTCTTTGTCAGTGACTCATTGAGGCATGTATTTTACAAAAACACTGATTCATTCAGTAACTAAACAGGTGACTGTACGTAGCTATGTCCCAATTCAGGGGCTGCATCCTTAGAAGGACGCGGACTTCGAAGGTATGAAGGTGTTGTTAGGGCAGCATAGCCTCTTGTCACCTAGAAACTGTGACAGCTGCTGTTGACGAGTGGCAGTAACATTTGTACTGAACTTTTTTTAAAGTTATATTCAACTGTCAACTGAAAACAAAGCAGGGTTCACAACCGGTCTACATATGTTCACCTTGGTCCATTTATGTACAAAATAAAGTATAAACTATCTATAAAATCACATCTTTAAGGTACGTCAACATACAGCTTGTGTTTATAAGTGAGTCACTGAATCTTTCACTCAACTGATTCTTTCCGCCACATTTATTCAGCCTCTGAATTGGGATACAGCTGGTGTTTATGAGCGAGTCATTGAATCTTTCACTCAGCTTACTCTTATTCATTCGGAAATGCTACTCATTGCTTGAAATCTCAACAGTTGATTCTGCTATGGATTTGGGATTGTTTTTTTGTTGGAGCATTCACACTGAATGTGTATTTGCATTCCACTGTCAGTTTTCTGTTGTTTTTCTATGTAAACACATGCTAGGCCAGCATGTTTCACTGTTGCGCTTGTGTCGTTTGCATTATTCCAAAAATGGCCCACTTAAGTTTAAAAAAAAATTACTTTTAAAAAAACTATTTTTTGTTTGAATGTATTCTGTTAACAACCCATTAAAGCACAATATCAGATTCAGAACGACAACTTGGAGCACTGGTTGTGTGTTAACGATGAAGCCAGAAGCCTCCTGGGTAATGATGCAGTCCTATAACCACCAGGCAACCTTTCCCACAATATCTGCAGTCTAATCGAATGCAGTGATGAGGTCATCCTCGCCACATCTCCTCTCCTGCTGTCTCTCTCTGCTGGAAACATTCTCTGCTTTACAGATGGCAAGCTTTAACCAACCAGTGTGTGTTTGCTTCTGTGTGTGTTTGAGGGGGTTTCTTCAGGACAACAGTGTTTTTCAGTTAACCCACAATGAGCACCCATCCCAGCTGCTAACTCACTCTACCCTGAATCCACCTCTCGACCTCTGGAACACGGCCAGCCAGACATTACAGGAACCTCTGAGAATATGTGTATGCATACAAATTCAATTGTGTGTAAAAGTACCCTGGCTCAGATTGTGTGCATCAGCCCATATTGAGATTAAATACACAATAATGATAAAAGGATTCTCCCCATCATGCCGATCATCTTTCACACTGGCCCAAACAACACAGGGGAAATCAGTAAAAGCAATGTGATAGATGGTAAACATGAACAAAAAGTTATTTTTAGAGGAATTATTAGGATAAAATATAAATGTTATTCAGATTCAATATAAATGTTATTCAGCACCATAATATGAATAAAAACATAAAACTGAATATGTATTATTTTTCAACATATTTATAATATAATATAACATAATAATATAATAAGGTGATATGCTGTTGTGCAATCTCAATGAGTACTTCATCCAATAATGCCACAATATTGTTTAAAAAATCACAAATCTATCATTCTGTCAAGCTAAAATGTGTTAACATGTTATCATAGTCACTGAATTAACACATTTTAAAGTAAAAAGTTTGAGCACCCAAAGATTTTGGGCAAGAGATAAACATTTAAGATAAGAAAGGATCAAAAAGCACATGTAGGCTACACTATTGAGTGTGGCAGCAATAATCTAAGCTCTGAATGTGGGTACACTGTGTGAAATATCTCTCTCCATTCAGGGGTGAAAATCTTCATTAACATGCTTGAATAGGCTGCATAATATTATAAGCTATTTCATGCTGCCGTGCTTCCCCTCTTTCTCTCATGTTTAATTTGCTGCTGTTTGTGTTCTACTCTGTGTGAACACAAAGAAAATGAAAGCGCAGAAGAGACTAGCCCTATGCCAGACAGGAGAACATCAATAGAGAATATGAAGGATGTTCATGTAAAGACATTGTGTTAAAGGCTTATCAGAGCTTGGGGGAAAAAATATGCTCAGGATTTGCTGATTTATTAAATGGTGCTGCTTAATAAAATCACTTGTAATTTTAGCTACAAACTACTTACCAACAAATGACTTTATATATTTAATAGAGCACCATGGTTTAACCAGGAATAACGTCAGTGTGATTTTGAGTCATATATTGAATTTCTATACAATGGGTAAAATAATGGTAAAAAAGTAAATAAAACACCTGAAAAGAACATTTCACATTTAGGTTTTTAGTATGTTCGTCATCAAGTAGCCTCAAGGAGCCAGACCTTCAGCCACTATATATTTTTAGTTTCCAAATTATTTCAGTTTCCAGTGAAATTAAAGTTACAGGTGGGAGAACAATCATATATGCTGTTTTTTATGATCCATTTATGCTTTAAGATCGCATTACTAGACACAAGTGTGGCCTAATAGTGTACCAGAATATGTTAAATTATAATATGGTTTAGTAGTTTATTGTGGATTATTTAAGAGATATACTGGTGTAAACAGTGTGCTCTCTTATTTTTCATTATAATTTACTATGATTTAAAATTGATTATAATGAGATTGACAAAGTACTATATAAACTTATTGATTTAAGGAGCAAAATAAAAAGATCCTGATTCTTAAATCTAACAATCATGACAAAAATTTCTATGACAGAAACAAATACAGAAAACTTAATAAAAAAGTCACACTTTACCATAGAAGAAGGCTGAAGATTCAGCAATATGTAATGTAATGATAAAATTGTATGCCATCTATTCCAACAACTCAAATGTATGATTATCTTCACTGGGCCTAGTTAACAGGCAAACTGTTCCTTTCCTGTAAGGTGACTGAAGGAAAAGAGCATGCAAAGTGTAGCACTAAATAACACTGAGTGATCTCCAGAGTCTCAGACTTCATTCCATTCATGTTAAATGACAGAAAGGCAACAGAGTACCAGTCATTGTCTGCTGAGTTTTTTTTTTTTTTTTTTTTTGGGAACACAATGAGAAAGAGTGGGTAAAAATAAAGTGTGTTTATGGTTGCCAGGGAAATGGAATGTGCTCATTTAGGCAGGAGAGCATAATCTGAAGAGCACTTACAGCACAGCAGACAATATTTCCATGCTAAAAAATGGCAGTTAAACAATGGAAATCAATGCGGGGTGAGTCGCTGGATCATTCTTCAAGATTTAGTTACTTCACATTTTGGATGTGTATCTTAAGTGAGAATATTGCAATACGTGTTATCTATAATCATTACTGTTGCTTTGCTAAAAAGCACACAAATATTAGAGACCACATATTTTCCAAAAAAAAAGAGTTATTTCATTACAAATTAATTACAAATTGAAATGAAAATGTTCCAAACCTATATGAATCGCTTTCTTCTGTTAAATGCAAAAGAAGATATTTTGAAAAATGTTGGTAACCACCAAACAGTTGACGGTAGCCATTAACTTCCATAGTATTTTTTTTTCATACTATTGAAGTCAATGGCTACTGTCAACTGTTTGGTGGTTACCAACATTTTTAAAAATATCTTCTTTTGTGTTCAACAGCTGAAACAAACTCATACAGGTTTGAAACAACTTGAGGGTAAGTAAATGATGACAGAATTTTTATTTTGGGGCAAACTATCACTTTAAGTGAAGCAATTTAATAATATTTTTATATTTAATTATATATACCTTTGTGAACATCTAGATTCATTAAGATGAAAACACCTCTGGAAATATGATTGCTGGCTTACTTTAATGAAACTTGCTAAACACAATGTAGCCATGATCATAGATCACTTTAAAGTATTTTATGATTTAATGACGTGCCTTTAACATTTCATGCACGGATGAGAATCAGTGTGGAATCACTTCACATGATTGAAGCATGAACTAAAAGCGAAGGCTTTTACCGTAATGAGCTGTGGCTGGTCAGCAGTTAATCTTAGTGATTCTGGTCGTGAGGTCTACATAATTTGTGGCCAACAAACAGGTACCTGACTTGTAGGTGGAGTCATTGCGGTTTTAATCAAGGTATTAGAGGAACAATGAGGCTATTATGCTGATTTTGACCTAATCCAAATGAGTCATTTCTTATAGACAAGCCTTTAATCTAATCACACTCTGTCACTCACTCTATATGCTTCTCTATTTCTCTCTCTTTCATACTCAGAATAGGTCAAGGTGTCCTCCTCCTTCTAGCCAAGACGACCGCAAATGTATGACATCATTGCTAATGCCTCCAGCACGGACCACCAATTGATCATCCTTCCCGCTTTCCATTCCCCTCCTGCTCACCTCTCCTTCTATGAGCTGTACACTCACTCACCATTATCCTGCAAGGTTTCTTCAGAGACCAGCTGTAACTGCTGTTCTACACGTCAGTGGTTTCATACTGGTTTTGTTTATAGTACAAAACACTAAAATGTATTCATTGGTTTATTAGTGGTTCTAAATGCCTCCTTAATTGTAATAAAAATTGGGTTGTTGCTTTCAGCAGCCATTAAAAAAGTGGTTCCTGCACCAAATCATTATTATCCTCATTGTAAGAGAACACATATTTATACTCACATAGTCATGAAAAGCTTTGGCTTCACTTGAGTGCTCACTTGTTTCTCTCCTCTCAGGAGCAGCACAGTAGAGGTCCCAGAAAACACTGCAATAAAAGATGTACAATATATTATAAAAAAGACTGTTACTGCAGTCTGAGAATAAATGACTATTCTCAGTTAATTAAAGTCCTATTTGGATGGGATTCGTTTTCCCCGAGGAAATGTTTGTTTCACAAATGTATTGCAAGATTTTTATACCATTAGAATTAAATATGTCTGTGTTTTCGCACAAACTTGGTAAAAATCACAGAGAATCTATATTATAACTTGGGGTTCCTCTCTTTTGGAGTTCCTCAGGTGTTCTCTTGTTTTTTTTTAATTTAAATAAACTATGTATTTATTCAGCAAGAATGCATTAAATTGATCAAAAATGACAGTAAAGGTATTTGTATTGTTTTTAAAAAAAAATAAAAAATTGGGAGAATCTGATCACAAACTGCTCAGAACAGCCATGATCATCGCCCTAATGAATTCCTTCCCTATATTATTATATTATATTATATTATATATTGGTTTTGTTTATTTTCTTGGATTTTGTGTTGCATATATCCAGACAACAAGATGTTCCATAATACACATATTCAGAATATAAACACCTTAGTATTAAAGGGTTCCTATTATGCTTCATTTTAATTTAATTCTAACTTACTTTCAGGTTACTTTTGTTTCTGTTTGTGCATGAAAAAGATCTGCAAATTTACAAAGCACAAAGTCAATTCTAAAGGGAGTTTTTCTCTATATAAGTAAGCTCTGTTTCTGAACTTCAATTATAGTCCTCAGTGTTCTTCTGGGAACGTGCACGTCACAATATCCCACATTTAAATAATTCACCCTTAAGGCATGAGCAAAAAAATATCGGGGGGCGAGGTCTGGTTGAGTTGCGTAGTTTGTTGTCGCCATGTCTGAGAGGCGCCATTTCATAGATCTAATATACTGATACACATTCAGATTTTATATTCGCAGACATAACCGACTGTGTTTAAGTGAACTGTGTTTTTGACACAATACCCAAAGAGATGACGACAACCAAAAACAAACAGATGTTTTGTTTGTTGTTGCCTTAGTAACCAAGGCAGGAACAGTAAAGGCTTCACCCTCTTTCCAGAAAGCAGCAGCTCATTTGCAGGATCCTTTGGAAGGTAATGTTATTTTTAGTCCAGTTATCCTTTATTGCTCCTCTCTCCTTTTCATCTCACAGTGGGCAGGGCCAAAGACGCCATGATGTAGAAGTAGTCATTGATCTGATTCTGCAGAGGTGGCCTTTTGTCGCACTATGACGTTATAATGTGACAAAAACGGAAACAAGTCGTTTCCTGAGCTTGGTTTCAATAACAGCTTTATAGTACAATGACCTTTTACATGTCAAAAGATCATAGAAAATTTGAAGGAAAATTCACAACCCCTTTAACTAGAGATCCCATGAATATATCATTCCCATCTTGATAATTATAACTCAAAACACTTTTAGCACACTAATCCCGTCTTTCTAAAATAGTGCTAAAGAAACATTCAGTTCCTTACCACCACCATGAGTGTAAGAACCCAGGCGGCTCTCCTAATGTTATGTTCTTCTCCCATCGGATCTGCCAAGTCAAACAGAGAACAAAGAAAGAGTTATAAAGATTCAGTGACAAGTCGACCTGTGCTTCCTTTTGTGATTTAAACATAATTAAGGGCAAATTCTGCCATGGAGAGCTGAACTTTGAGTCAAACATGGTGCCCAGAATAAATCTGAGAAATAAAACTGTTACTTGGCATCTGTTTGAAACAGTTTCAGTGTGACTCAGTCATTAATAAAAATTCAGTTAACCAATTGACACTTCACTAAGCTCTGCTCTCCTTGGCAGAATATGACATAGAAAGGAATTGGAGATTTTAAGGCAAGACACTATAGGTGAGTAGGGTAAAGATTTAAACAAACAGATGTCACCATACTTTCCACAGATGGACAATTGTTTTTTTCTATTACATTAATAAATTATTTTATGTTTATATGTGTAAATGAGGCATTATCTAATTAAATTATGCACTAATTTCCATGAATTTTCCAGAACAGCAATCTGAACATTCAGTTTCATTTTGTTGACAGATAAAGTTTTTTATTTTGTTAGAGTTAAAGGTTTTAATTTTGTTACAGTTAAAGATTTTTACAGCGGAGATTTTGGATATCTCTTTTTATCACTCCACGAATCAGAAATTACTGTCAACAGCCAAAATTTTTTTTATATATAAATCAGGTGAATGTTAACTCTGTAAAAACCTTGAATGAATATATAATATATATATATATATATATATATATATAGATAGATAGATAGATATAGATATAGATATATATATGCATTTTAATTGAAATCTACAGACACAAAAAGCTAAAGTGTTATTTATAATAAAAATGAACACTTAAAAGCATATTTTGGATATTTTCTTTCCACCAGTCTAAGAAGACAAATTATGGAAGCAAAATAGTCCAAAATTTCCAAATTTGCCAGTGAATGAAAAAGACAATAGTTTTGTCTGTAGTGTCTTGCCTTAAAGGCAGGGTATGTAATTTTTCAAAAACACTTTAGAAAACTGATTCGGGCCGAATCGCATTTATTGTATAATTTCTGAAAAATAGTCTTCAATACTATCAAAACACAGGATATCCACTGATTTAGAACTAGAGCAAACGCTTCTCTTGCTTCTCTTGCTAAGGTAAGATCGGTCAGTAAAAGGCTGTGCTTAGCGAAGTTCAGTTATCACTAAAGCTTCTGCAAACCCTTCTCCTTTCTCATCCTCATCTCTTTTCCAAAAGACTAAACAGGAACAGAAAACACCATCCGTCTCGATGAGATCATCAGTTTCAGTCACTGGCCATGTGAGATGGGTTTACCGACATTAAAGCGCTGACGACAGCCGCCATAAACAACAGGGGTGTGCCCAAAATTATCTCAATACATTGCCACGAGAGCTACGGCTATTTTTGGGTTCAAGTCCAGCGTGAACTGGTTACATGAGCAGGGTGGCAAAAGACAGGAGTCGCAAAGGAAACCGGCCACAATGGACGGGGCGGCTGGCTTAGTCACAGAGGCCGGTCTGAGTCACGACAGCAGTGTACGTCTGGCTTGTTGATGTTCACGTCTGAGTGGTGGGCCAGCCTTTGTGTTTTTACCTCTGTGATTGTGCCAGTCTCTTTCTCTGTCTTTCCTCTTCTCTCTTTGTTCTGTTCCACTATTTATCTGATCTTATTCCTCTGTAATTCGCAAATATTTACTTGACTCAAGAGCTGCAGCACTCATCTGCATTTACTTTTACTGTTCAGTTGTATCTTGTCAGTGATCATGTCATTAGCAAGCGAGCTGTCGTGGACACAGCTATAAACATCTCTTCCCCAAACGCAGCTTGAGAGAATGTCAAGTCATTAACGTTGAGTGTCTCTAAAACAGACCCTTCAGAAGAAAGTTAAAACATTGCTTGCTGTCTGAAGAATTGTGGCTGCAGTGCAAACAGGTCTCAAATTGTCCACTCTGTGTATTGGGTCATCTAAAGCCTTTCACAACCAGCTATTTCTAACTAAATCTTCATGTTGAACATAAACCACATTCATTTACAGAGCAGAGCAAGTGAACACTGTTCTATGAAAATCCGTGGAAATAAGCTTACAGACCCCCGCTGCATCTCCATGAGACCGTGCCATTAAACAGAAACAGTTTGCCCAGTTTCTCGTGCCAGAGTGGTTTTGTATCCAGTGTAACTCGATTAAGCTGGGATCAGAGAACAGTGTGGGTTTCATTGGAGCCGTTTACTGGCCTACATGTAAACATTATCTCCTAAAACTACAGCGTCTTAAATAGATTCGTGTTTAGAAGCATTTTAGTGACAGTCACAGAGATCTTGGTGAAAATGCAAAAAGGTTCCAGTTCACCTACCTCTGACAGGAAGGTCTGTGCTGATTTCTGAGCTCCTACATGTAGCAGATATTCGTACACATACAGAGCTAACCTGCAGAGACAGAAAGTTAAGAAGACTTTTAGGCAACTTTCTTTTTAGTGTCATTTCAGTCATATATATATGAATGAATATATCTTTCATTCATAGATATATGAATGAATATATCTTTCCATACTAATACTAGTCCCAATCTTAGGTCTGGTTCCAATGGCTACATAAAATTCAATTGTTCAGCTTCCTAAAATGGTTCATGAGGAACAATTATCATGGCATCTCTGAAATAGCAAACTTATAGAATTGTCATCATTTACACATTATGTCATCATTTACTCATTCTCATTCACAAAATGTTAATACTCCTCTTTTCATACAGTGGAAGTAAAAGGTGAATGGCAAACTGCAAAAAGCACTAATAAAAATATCAATGGAATACAGTGTCAAGAGTAAAAAGACTAAAGACATAAGACTAAAAGCCTGAAGTTTAATTCTGAAAATGTTCAATACTATACTATATGTGCATTTTCAATATTGCACAAATGAGATTTGAGAGATAGAGCCAAGAAAAAGATTTTCAATGAATAATGACTTGAATTTTAATCTGTTCCTTTCTGTTTTAATCATATGGCTTTAGAATAATATAGTCATAAGGAATCATTGAACTTTATGGTGTGTTTTTTTGTTGACATTTTAGGCTCTGGTCAGCAGCATATAGTTTTATTTTATGGGGGGGAAAAACGACGTGAATATCCTAACACAAGAGAAACTATCTTCATTTTTGAATGCACTATCCCTTTAATTGAATCCAATTCTTTATGGCCTGGCTGTGTATCCTTTCATATAGTTAAAGAACCAATATGTGAATTTAATAAGGCAAAATGAGTGTATACAGCATATCAAAATGAGTCCCAGTTTGGAGATCATTATCAAGACAAACTTTGGGCAAACATCAGGTTCACTGAGAGTTCAGTTTCCATTACTCTTCAGTTCACCATTCCATTTTCAGTTCACAGTCTGACATGGATATTTTCAGTAGTTCCATATATTTGCCATGATGTTTTATTTTTTTATACTGGTAAAATTCCTTCAAAATGAAGCTTGTGATTCTTTGAATCTTTCGAGTAGCCTATCCTCTCTGAATGTGTAAGTGAGTCTGAGTCAGCACAGTCCAGCGGCATCCTATTAAATTTATAATTTCAGACGGTCAAATGCAGACAAAATATTCACTCTCCTGCTTATTTCTGCAGACACAAACCTGCACTGAACAACCTCCAAATGTTCAGAGAATGCATATACACTTACAAACAAAATATGAAGAACATTCACCACAATGTAGAAGACAGTGTTTGTACAAGAGAAGAAAATGCTGAAGTGGAATGATGACAGAAGAGTTTAGGAACATTGGCATGAACTCAATTCATTGATGAACTCAATTTTTACATTTTCCTTCTATAGGGTGTTGTGGATGATTGCCGGGGTATTGTTACTGGTTGTTATAGGGATTTCTGAGTAGTTGCTACAGTAAGTAGTTGCTTAGCCAAAAAGGCCTTCTCCTCCAAAGTCTATATAATTTTTTCACTCCTTCTATCATTTGCCAGAGATGAAAATCACTTAGTCAGGTATAAGTCCCTATATAAAAACTAAGTGACAGCACTCCTCAACAAGCCACACAATTTGAGCTATTATTCATGACTGTAGTGTAGTAGAGTTACATGATGAAATTTCTTTCAGTATGGGCAGTAATAATGATGCCTGCTTTAGCAAAGATCATTAATTAAAGAAATATAGCAATACAAATTACAACAACCAAGTTGTAATTTAGTTGTAATATATATACACAATACAATAAAAAATGAAATAAAAATAAAAATAACCAATTACATAAACCCTAAATAATATAATTAACGATCAAGTTTGATTCTCTTCAAGACAGTTTTCAGTAGCTATTTATGGGCCATTGATCAAAACATGAAATTAACACACATACATAAGCCTGAATAAATAACTCTGAAGCTACATATGCACTTATTTTGTACAACAAAACGAACAGGTAAAGCAAGTAATAATAAAATGATCTCATAATTGTTCACTACAGCTCAAGATACTGGATATACAATCAATATGAGAAATGATATAAAGAGATAATAATGACAGAACAGAAGAGAGGCGAGATGAGCACATCGTCTCAGAGTGTGTCGTTAACCTCATGCTGCGTCCTCATCCCATCAACACAGCGCTCTTCCCTGTTCTACAGATGAACTGACAACATTCTCATTGGCTGCCTTACACTCGCTAGATACAAACAGACTCATTTCCCAAGAGACATTAGAGAGCGGGGAGTTTGAGGGTGATCCTGTCTGTGTGTATTTGTATATTTGGGACGAATATGTCTATGGGTATGTGTTTGACACATTAGGTGCAGTGAAAGAGAACAGAGGATGAACACAGAAAGACAAATATAGAGATGGGTAGAAGAGGAGAGGCAGAAAAGCAGGAACTCATAAATGATTAATGATGAGAGCTGAAAAGGAGGAAGGAGAGTGACATGAGGACAACAGAAAAAAAATGATTGCAACCGTGATTTGTAAAATAGCTGACAGATTACAAAAGTTGCTTTTATTTAACAAAACTGTGCGCATGAGCCTAACATCAGTATACCTGACATCTTTAACTAATCCTTTGAAAATGTATACATTTATGGTGGTTATGACCTTTTATGTGTGGCCGATGTCTGTCACGTGAGCCTTCAGAAATCATTCTAATATGTCGATTTGGTGCTGAAGTAACATTTCTTATTATTGTTGATAAGAGTTGTGCTAATTCTATCTTTCTATTTGTCTTCACTCTTTGACAAATAGAAAGTTCAACAGGATTTATTTGAAACAGTTGTTCTTTGTAACAATCTAAAGGTCTTTGCTGTCACTTTTGATCAATTTAATGCATCCATGCTGAAAAACGTACAAACCCGATTCCAAAAAAGTTGGGACACTGTACAAATTGTGAATAAAAACAGAATGCAATGATGTGGAAGTTTCAAATTTCAATATTTTATTCAGAATACAACAGATGACATCAAATGTTTAAAAAGGTACTTTCTCTAGATCTTTCTCCTTTTTTAAATCTTACTGATCCCAAACTTTTTAATGGCTGTGTGCAAATTTATAGTAGATTTATTTCTAACTGTGGTCATGGCAGATTTAGTTTCTTTGTTTTTTTTCTTTCTCTTTTTGGTTAAAATTGTGTGCAAACTGCTGTCAGTTGGAAAAAAAAATCATTATTTGGAAAGACATGATAAAAAAAAAAACAGTTCTTCCACTTAGCCTTTGAATCAAAACAGGTGAAATGGAGCTATGAAAGAACAACAAAAGTATTTTAGAGGGGAAAAGGCCATCTAGATAAGGAATGAAACTCATATCCTGTGTGGACAGGACAATGCTACATTCCTCAGCATACTGGGCCCAAATTCTTCTGCTCTGCTAATATGGAAGAGGTTTGCTTTCTTATTTATCATAACGTGTCAATAAAACTGAACATCATTTTATAAAAGCACAGACAATGCAAACAAAATACAACAAAGCAAGTGTCCGTGTTTAATGTTTTTGAAGATGTTAAGAAATAGTGTTTGACTTGAGCAGGCATATGAACACACAGAATGAAAACCAGGAGTTTAGGGTTTAGTCCAAAGCATGCTGCACAACACCTCGAGAAACAATGCCTTTCTCCACCACAACAGGAAATGCCAGCTTATCTTGCAGATGAAAGCAGGGAGAAAATGTGCAGCTCTGGAAAAGAACTTACAACATACACACTTACCAGAAGCTCTTGGTCTAGTTTACAACTACATGAGAAACAGAACCAAGTGACAATAATAGAGAAACCACTTAACTTTGCTGGATTTCAAACAGGTCACATGGGAAAACTAAAGGACCGTGCAGACTGTGTGTGTGTGATATGTGATAAAAGAAGGTTGTATAACACACAGGCTAAAGACAGAGAGAAAGATTCCTAGCCGGTTTCTAAGCCATGCCGTCACGCTTGCTTAACCTTGCAGTAGGGCCGGTGTGATGCTGCTTGCATATCAATGATGGAGAAAAAATATCAGAGGCCAACCACTCTGCAGGAAAACTGTTCCAGCAGCAGGAACGACAACACCAGTCATTCTCTTACATACTGAATACAACTGCAGAACAGAGAAACAACACTTTTCACCACATTAGAAAATACAAAGTAAACATCTATTTGAAAATCACCATTCACCAAGAATTTCATTAATATGTCTTAACAGCTATGAAACTGTAAAAAAAATAAAATAAAATTCTGCTGCTGAAACAGTATAGAACATGATGATAGGAATGCCAAGGTCATATGTTTGACTCCCAGGGATTGCATGAACTAACAAAATGTTTGAATGCTATGTAATTCGCTTTGGATAAAAGCTTGTGACAAATGCACAAATGTAAAAATAAATAAAGAAATAAATAAAATCGTAATATTAATGACAACTGAATTATTTATTTGATATCTTTGGAAACTGTCACAAAAACCTCCATGGTGATTTTGTTTCATCATTTTGTTTTGATATCTCCAAGTAGGCATGGGCCGATTACCGGTTTCAAGGTATACCGTGGTTTGAAAATTTCACGGTTTCAAAACCACTAATGTTTTCCGTTATACCGTTCCTGCGGTATGCACTGGAGGAATATTCCACATATGTGTTCCCACATGGAGTTCTAGAGAAGAAAAGAAACTTCAGGCATTCTAGATAAACATCCTATAATACATTTTCCACTGAGCTAAAAGCTGTTAGAAGACATGTTGTGACAGATGTTTTCTTTAGTAGACGGTTTGCATGTCTTTGATTTCTTGCACAAACTGCGTTGCAGTGCAATCATTTTCCAAAATGTCATTTATGTGAAAATATGAATTCTGTTAACGCCCGTTAACACAGACCAGAGACGCTGAAGACGGACGCACAGAGAAAAATACTGTAGCTGGCGGATCACTCACTGTTCATGATGCATGAACTATTGGAAGAAAATCCTCAATATTGATTTGGGGGTTTATATGAATGTGTTTCTGAGGGGAACTGACTGTCTTCAGAAAAGTTTACGTGGTATTTTCTTTTAATCTCGTCTCTGTATAGTTCATATTAAAGCAGTGTTTCAGAGTGAGGGTCAGATTTAAACCATGTATTATGTTACGGTTCCTAATAAGGTTACATGCCAGCTGGCATTTTATTTACTCAAAAAAGAAAAGAAAAAAAAAAGCCAAATTTTACTCACTTCTGGCATTTGGCAAATGTTCATTTGGGACCCATATATGCATATGTAGTGAAACCCAAAAGCACACAGAGAGTTATTAATAATAACTTATTGCTAGTGCTATATGACAGTTTTAATCTGTTGTGACTGCTCAAACTGAGATCGGCCTACAAAAATTAAAGTTTACCAGACACAAGTCTAAACTGACACCACAGATAAACGGCCAACAGCACTTTGCAATTTAAATGCAATTTAAGATGTGACTGACTTGCAAAAGGACTGACAACATTCAACATACAATACAACGACCCTCAGCACATTACCTAGCACCTGTAGTTTTATCTCTGACTACGAATTTTGTTTAGAAATATAGTTTTAGCAAGGACTACTTGTTGGTCCATGTCCATGTAGAATAAAACAGCTGTTTCTAGAATAGGCTACTTATTGTATATAATGTCTTCGTCTCATGTGAATGAACATCATTTTAATGATATTTCTCAAAAGTGATGTTCAGTTCTTTATTTGTAAAACCTTTTAATTAAAAAAAACTAAGTAAATCTTTCAAAGTGGACAGCAAAAATGAGAAAACCTTAAAACAGATCAAAACAGAAAACCTAAAACAGAAAAAACAATCATGTGGAAAGGAATACATTTAAGCATAAAATCATGATGTTGAAAATAAAGTTGTCCATACTATTTGTCAACCGCCCTATTACTGTGAAATGGTTTGAGCATCCTTATGATTAATGCTTAAACACCTTCTGGCACAGAACAACAACCAAGCTTGTTTTGTTTAGCGATCAGTCAAAATGTCTAAGACAAGGAAAAACAGCCAACAGACATTCAGATGGACAGCTGGAAAGGTCACTCAAATGTAAAATGCATAAAACACTGAGTTACACAGTGACAAGGAAGCAAACTATTTGAGTTAGTTATTTACGTGCTGTTAAAAAAAGATTCTGCCCTTAACTGCTCAAGAACGATGAAGGAAACGAAATTACTCTTGATAATCATACAGACTGCTACATGACCACACGATTCAATAAGTGATCTAATAATACTTCTCATAATGCAGAAAGCACGTAACTTGAGAGGCGAAGCATACAGTAGCCTAGTACATGCGCCAGCTGCTGTCTTATATGTCTCCTCTGTCTAAATGTGTGTGTGCGACTGCAGATGTGATCGCGAGAATTCCTCCTCCACCTCCTGATTAATATAACTTACTTTTCTCGGGCTTGGCTATCCGATGGCACGCTGTTCTTGCCTTTGGCGTACATGCTTGCACAGACGCGACTGTCACGCACCTGTCAACCCATCACAGCCTCTGTCGAAACAATCTCGTCACCATAGCGACTCAATCAGCTCCTCACCATTGGATGGACCGCAGTGAACAGGCGCCCTCTCTCTTCTCTCTCTCTAGATGTCTGAGCAAAGAAACCTGGATGACCACGCCCACTCAACACCTTTCGCTCTGACTGCAGCCACGCCCCCGTAATCCGGTGAATTCGAATTCTTTTGACCCAGATTGGTGTAAAGTCTGAACAAGAAAGTATGACTACACATAAAGATTTATTTCAAGATTAATAATCACATTTTACCCTTACAAACCTTCAAATGTCTTTTAATTCCTTATAGTTTCAGAGACCTTCACTTGAGCATTTACAATGTCTTGTAGTCTACACGTCCATTTGTACTGAGAAGAAAAAAAGAAAAGAAAAAAGAAAAATCAAGTGACCATGCTTTTTAAACAGTTTCCCTGTGGAAGTTGATGAAAAGTGTGCCCGAATATAGACTTAAACACACGATTTAACGGCACTGAGAATCATTATATCCTTACAAAGCGTCTCACCAAGAATGTCTATAAGCATCTTAAATACAGATTATATGTGTGTGTTGTTGTTGGTCAGTATAAAAAGTAGGCTAGTTAATTAATGCAAGGAAGGTACACTACACATGTAGAGTACTGCCATCTAGTGAACAATTCCAAAACAATCCACAAGACATACAGTTCAGACCAAGATTACTGTTGAAATAGTTTTTTCTTCTTCTCAGAATATGGTTTCAGAGTCACTAAAATTGTTTAAGAGTTATTCACACACACCTGTTTGAGATTTAAGGATTATTTATTTATTTATTTTTAAATCCATTTTAATAGCCTACTGCAAATTACTCATAAGCTTAGTGCTGATGCACAACTTACCCAATAAACTTTCATCCACGCTGGTTACCTGTCAGGTAATTTACCATCAAGTCAGATTCCTTACCGGCTAAATAAATACATAATGTGTGTGTGTGTGTGTGTGTGTGTGCGTGTATTTTTGTATGTTGAGTTTATTCTATAAATGTTGCAATATAAACTGCATGTAGCATATTTGCTCACAGTTGTAAGGTACAAAAAACAGTTTAAGCAACTAAAAACAGGTGGAGTGAAAGTAAGTAAGTGACAAAGTAAGTGACTCTTTATTAAGAACAGATAAGTTACTATCGTAAAAAAAATTAAGAATTCCGTTCCCATAAGGTTTAGAGTCAAATACCCAATACATTCACACTAGAAATGTCAGGTCAGAGCAAGTTTAAATTTTTTTATTGGGACATTTTCAAAGAACCACATCTGTTTACAAGTTTATTGGGACATGTTCACTGCATTAAAAGATGTGACAACCTCGGCCTTTCAGAATGTACAAGAAATTTTGAAAAGGTGTTCCTTTATTTATGATACTAAATTTAATTATTATTTAATTGTATTATTTAATTGTCAATAATGGTATAATTGGACCGGTTCAACAAGTTTGTTCACATCTAGAGTGCTGCCATCTTGTGGACAATTCAATTCAAAAACAGTTTTGTTTTGTTTTTGTTTTTATGGCAAATTGTGGTGGCCACATGTGCTCTTGAAGCCTTTATGCAGCAGAATTTTGTAGCCTTCCCCAGATTTGTTTCCCAACACAATCCCTTGAGATCTGGCTTTTTTTTATTTTTTATCTGACTGATCTCATTTTCACCAGGTCCAAATGTAAATATAAACCACGCCCAATATTAGCTTCAAGTATGTCTCACCCACAGGGCACAGCTGGAAGCCCACATACTTTTGTTGATTGTTTCCTGCAGTCGCGTGACTGAAGCAAGTTCAGTTCAGACGTCAGAAGCAGATAATCGCGGTGGAGTGGGGTATGAGTGGTTATGAACAAATGAATGAAATGCATTTGTCCGTGTTTCACTCCGTCTCGAATCGCGCTCGCGGAAAGTGCTTGAGAAACAGTGTCTCTTCCGCGGCTCGGTACCAGAGCATGTGAGCGGAGCCATGGGCGGATTGACTAGTGAAAGCTGCCATGAATTCCAGACCTTCAGCCGTCATTCTGAAGGTCTGGCTACGTGAGACTAATAAGGCCCTATCCACACGAACGCGGCTATTTTCAAAACCGCAGCTTTTTCTACACAGTTTGGCCGTTCGTCCACACGCAAACGCAGCACCAGGTCACTGAAACCGAACATTTTTGAAAACTCCTGCCAGGGTGAAGTCATGTGGACGGAGATTTTTTTTAAAACGGAAGAATGAAAAACTCCGTTTATAAAAATACCTGTGTACGTGTGGACATGTAAAAAGATTATGAATGAGGTCTTTTTAGATCATGTGTTTTTGTCATTACCTGCTCCTAATTTAAGTCATTTGTTTTTCAATATCTGTGCATCTGGTCATACCTGGATGTGCCATATGCCTCAGATCCGGAGATTAAATTCCCAGTTGTGATTCTTCCTCCTCAGCCTGTCTCAGGGGCTACAAACAGTGACTTTGGAATCTGGAATCAACCACTAGGAAGCAATATGTACCCCAACCCACCTCCTATGGCTCCACTTGCCCCACCACTTAATGTGGTTGGACCATCTGGTCAGTTTGGTGCCCCTGGCTACTATGGACCACCTCTGAATCAGTTTCCTGCTCCTGGTTACCCTGGATTGGATCATCTGGTCAGTTTGGTGCCCCTGGCTACTATGGACCTCCTCTGAATCCGTTTCCTGCTCCTGGTTACACTGGACCTCCAGGTCAGTTTGCTCCACCTAGTTACCCTGGACCTTTGGGTCAGTTTGCTCCACCTAGTTACACTGGACCTCCTGGTCAATTTGGTCCTTCAGTTTCAAATCAGTCTGACCCATCAGCTCCACCTCATAATCAGGAATATCAATTATATCCACAGTTGCCAGACCACCCTGAAAAATCTTGACAGTGATTTTAGAATCACCTTAGACTTCTTTTATTGTTATTGTTTTATCTAAAATTCTGGAATGATTTGTATATGTAGCCTTTTATATTTCAGGTAGTGATGTTGACTGTTAATAAGCTAACAACATTCTATACTATTTATTTTTTGTATTTCTGAACCTTCAGTATAGTGCAGCGGTGGCGAACTCCGGTCCTGGAGAGCCGCAGCCCTGCAGAGTACAGCTCCAACCCTAATTAAAACTCACCTGCCTGTAGCTTTCTAGTAACCCTTCAGCCCTTGATTAGCTTATTCAGGTGTGTTTGATTAGGGTTGAAGCAAAACTCTGCAGGGCTGCGGCTCTCCAGGACCGACGTTCGCCACCCCTGGTATAGTGCTACATTTTACATCCCATAAAAAAGATATACCCTGCTTTATTTATTGTTAAGTAGAGTACTGTATTTTTTTTTTTAATGTTTCAAATTAAAGTAAGCATTTGTGCTGCTTTAAAATTGTACATGCATTCAACTTGAAATGTTAAATTGTACTAAGTGACAACTTTAAGGCAACATGAATACATTTTTTTTTTTGACACAACAGTTTTTTATAGTGTAGATTTACCATCAGTGTCTGCATAAATTGTAACAAAAGTTATGGATTTACCATGAATTTCTCCATAAACTGTTAAAAAAATTTGTTCAGAACTTAAACTGTTACAACAATATAGACCAAAAACTTTTTTGAACATACTGTGACACTATTGTTCGACTGAATAATGTATTTTACGTATTTCTATTTATGTATGAAATATAAATCTGAATTTACTCACATATTATAGACTCTATATCTTGTTAACAGTAGATTGAGTAGTTTATTATTAGTTAAAATTTAGATACAGATTTACTCTTTAAAGCTCCTCTATGTAACTTTTTACCATCTATCGGTAAAAAAATTTAATAAAACTGCATGTGTCTTGCGGAAGAACATTTTAGTTGTTTTTTGTCTCTGCACCAGTGTACACATGCAAATATAAAAAAATGTTATCTGAGCAGGTGCAATATTTTGTGCTGTTGTTTGACTTATTGGAACATTGTCAAACTTTTGTCAATTGAAAAACATTTTGGAAAAAAATTACATAAGAAAAGTTTACAGATCGTTAACATGAGACATAACGATTGCTAGGCTAATAATGTCAAATGTTATAATAAACTCATGCTACTGCTAGAGATCTACATGGCTGTCAGTCAGTTCATTAAAATATACCCATTTAGTAAGAAAAAAAATACATCTATAGCTTGCTTTTCTTGCCACCTCTGAATAGCTAAGCCCCATGCTGATTCAGGTTTCATTACGGATTCTGTTGCTTTCCCCTTTTGCCTGTAGACACTGTTCTTTTTGATTTTTTTTTACAAACACCCGGCTGAAAAAAAACAACTAAAACCAGCCTAAGCCGGTTGGCTGGTTTTAGCTGGTCTTCCAGCCTGGTCATATCTGGTTTAAGAGGGGTTTTGACTACTTCTTTAGCTTAAGCCAGCTATGTCCAGCTTAAACCAGTTAAGACCAGCCAACCATGGTGGTTTCAGTTGTTGTTGTTTTTTTAGCAGGGATTCCCTAGAGGTTGCCATTTTGCATGACCCATTGATGCTAGTTGTGTCATCTAACCTTCATGCAACTCCCACACCATATACACGCCAGAGCTTCAGGAGTTCCCACCTTTTTTCTTCTTGTTGATGGCTGTCCACTCTGTGGAGCATTACTGGCACCTTCAGTGCTTTTACATATATCGCCTGACTACATTGGTGTTTGCTTAGAACCTCAAATTGTTAGAGATTTGGCATCACCTTGTCCTGTGTGTTCAGATCATGCATTCTCTGCTCAAATCCCTACATTTCAGACCCAAGCACAAATGGTTTTTAAATCTGTTTCTTGCAAAAAATTTTATAGCATTTTATACACCATATATCATTAATCTCATTACCAAACTATTCTCGATACTTTCAGCTAAACTTCCACAAGAATTATTATATTTATCACACTCCATTCCAATAGCCTACTTTTTTGTTTATGATAACACGCTAGGCCCATGACTGTTTGGGTTTTGTCTTTACTTTACAACACCTTCAATTCCAACACTCACAAATTTTTCACCAGTTTTTGAAAAACTGGTGGCTAAACAAATTATTGACCATTTTAATAATAGTCCTTTTCAATTACATCCGATGCAGTTCGGCTTTAGGATAAATCATTCAACAGAAATGGCTACTTGTTATTTTATTGAAAAGGTAAAGGCATTAATGGATAAAGGTGGAGTGGTAGGGGCTGTATTTCTTGGTTTACAGAAAGCGTTTGATACTGTAAATAATAATATTCTTTTACATAAATTACTCAATTAAAATTTTTCGACAAAATCTGTAAATTTAATTGAATCTTATCTCTCTTCCCGTTCTCAGGTAGTAAAAATGGATTATTATCAATTCAATTCACTATGCCTTTCAACTGGTGTTCCACAAGGCTCCATATTGGGGCCAATTCTCTTTAGCATGTATATTAATGATTTACCCATGGTGTGTCAACAATTTAATATAATATGCTGACAATACAGTCATTTTCACGCATGGTAAAAATGCAGAAGAGGTTGCAAATAAGTTGAAAGATGTTCTGGCAAAAATCATATCCTGGCTCAATCAGCGTTATCTGAAATTAAACGTGCCAAAAACAGCTTGTATGTTCTTTTCTAAATTATATAGTGTTGATATAAAACTGAATATTTTCTTTTTGGAAGAGAGATTACAGGTTGTTTCGGAATATAAATACTTAGGGGTTCATTTGGACTCATGTCTTGGTTTTAAAACGCATATAAAAACGGTATGTAAAAAGGTAAAATTTAATTTAGTTAATTTTCGGTTTATTAGAAACTCTTTATCAAATGAGGCTGCAAAGGTATATTTTAATTCTATGATTCTTTCTCATATTACTTATTGTCTGACAAGTTGGTCTAATGCACATGCTATAGTTCTAAAACCATTGGAATTATTGTACAAACAAGCACTTAAAATTTTAGATTAAAAAAAAATTAGTTTTCACCATTGTCATATCTTAAATAGGTATAACCTGCTTAGCTGGAAAAACATCACTAAGTTTGATCACTAAGTAAAAATGTTTGTTTAGTTTATAAGATTAGGCATGGTTTAGCTCCTCCTCCTCTGGTTGATTTTATAAAATTTTAAGGGGTCATATGATGTTGCTAAAAAG